TTGTTCATTATCAGGTACGCAAAATCTTACACACAAGTTACAGCATATATTACTTTCATAAAATTCTCTCTAACTTAAGCATCGGAGGGGCGACGAGGACACACCTCGACGCCTTTGTTTCAGGTACTAGAAGACCACGTTCGTGTCCATCCTCAGTAGTCAAGCTCGGAAATCGACAGGTGCGACTTTTGGTAGCATCAGTTATTATTTTTTTATTTCTCCCTCACCTTCGCATCTAAAAGCGTATTTTTGCATCTCTTTTCTCCTAAACTATGTTCATGCTTTGTCATTCTGGAAAGACAACGTGTAGCCTTCAAGCCGATTTTTGGTGATTCTTTCGTCTGTTCTTCTTCTACTTATCTTCACAAAGTTTTTGAGATTCAGCACCAATAATTACCCAGCAATGATATTTTTGGTCCAACATATTGGTGTATTTCAAGAGATGGGATACATTGAACAAATATATGATTAATAGAAATTATATAAATAGTAATAAAATTTTGAGCATTTGTAAAATTCTAGTGAAGCTAAGATATTTATGTGAATCCTAGGGTAGCCTTATGATTTTATCTCCAACAAATTTATATATTAGTTATTGTTAGAATTACGGTGTGATCCGAATTCTAGTTGCAAGATAATTGAAAATTCTAATTAAAGTCGATTTAAGAAAAAATCTATTAAGAATGTTATTTGGAATCCTATTCGAAGTTTATTTGGCAAATTCTAATTGAAATTTTATTTGGAAGCCTAATTGGGAATTTGAATTTGTGTTGGACTTGAAGAGGTCGAGATATGGGTCAGGGAGAAATTTTAAGCTCTTTTCTGCTAGCTGGTTGCTAGTCTAACGCTCGAGCGACGCCATCGAATTTTGTGCAGAGAGCTGTCGTCTGTTGGCGCCCTCCGGGCGCTTGAGCGGCGGCTCCTCCATCCCAAGCCCCTTTTTGCATTTTGACATGTTTTGAATATTTTTTCCACCTATAACTCTACTTTTTAGGCTTGAAATATCTCCTCTATATATTTAATCATTCATTGTATTTTAAATTAAGTTAGACAAATTATAAACAAAAAATCATTATATCCTTTCTCCGTATTTTAGTGAAATTTCATTTACTTTGAAAATTATATTGTTCTTGGGTTCTTGCAATCAATTATTTCATATTGTGACATATTTTCTTTTCTTGCATATTATTACAACAAATTGGTGTCTGAGCAATCCGGTATCTTCTTCATTATTAGAGCAGTTATAAATTATCAAACTTTATTTTCAACCACACATAGACCTATAAGTACTATTCACCACTCATTTATATCTATGTATAATTTAAATTGTTTAAAAATTCTTCTAAAAGATTTGACTAAGCCCATGTTTGGTTTGGATAAAAATTTGATTTTTAATAAATTGTTATAAAAATTAATGAAATTTATGCTTGAAAAATTGACAAAAATTGTGAATCTCATAAAATATGTGGTTGAAAATGATTTTGTTTTAATCAAATTTATGACCGTCCAAAATTAGCTCTAAATATTTCGAAATTTTGGGATGAAACAATGTTTGGCTATACAGTGTTTTGTCATTTGAGATTGCATAAAAGATGAAATCGCAATAAGATTGTTTTACGTGTTGTTAAAATCAATGGTAAAATTGTATGCCACATCACACAATGCCAAAAAACTATCAACCATGAATATAGACCTAGCAAAGCTATCACAATAATTAGTGGGATGTTTGATTAGGGTTTGAAAACCAGTCAAACTAGTGAACTTCTAGTATGTTAGAAAAATCAAATTAGCAAAATCAATTCGGTTAATGGGCATTTTGGTGAGTGATATAAATTCTTCTTTTGGTCAAAAGTGGAGTCTTTTGGGTGGATAGACACTTGTCTTAGTACCATTCATAGTTGGTGAGTTGAATACATTTTCTTTGACCATAAAAACAAAATGGTGGAAACCAGGCCGATCACCTTTTTAAGCAAAAGGGGAATTTTCTTATGAAATTTCTCATAAAATTCCATTAAAAGTATTTGATTGAAAAGAATAATGTTATTCGCAAGTCGCTCACTACGACGACATAAGAGACGACTCGCAAATCGCAATGAACAACTACAAATGACATTACTAGATTGAAAAATATACATTTTGAGTTGCATGAAGGTGTCCACTCGTCATTAATGAATAAACAGTAGCTTTTGGAAGACACGTTGGTCTTTGAACCGTTGTCCAGAAATTCGAACATCTTAGTGAGCTCTTTTAAGTTGCAAGATAATTTAGGGCTTTTACGGAGAGATTTTTCCAAACGGAAAATAATTTTTATAAAGAATGCAAAGTTAAAAGGTAAGAAAAAGTTATAGACCTCTTCAAATGTATAGTTAAAATTGATTTTGAAAAAAAAAATGAATTTAACAAAATCTCTTTTAAATATGCATTTGATAAAGTTTGCAAATGTTAAGGAAACTTTACGAAAACTTTGAAGAAACGTTTGACCATAATTCATTGAAATTATCTATAATACATTAAATATCACATCAAGTGAGAATTATTTTTTTTTGACGATTTTAACCCTACTATAATTCAATTATACCTTACTTTTCGTTTTTTAATATGTAATAAATATTACAAAATACTTGCCATTTATGGATTTCAAGTTATTAATTCTCAATTAATTAATATTCATATTAATCTCATAGTGTGTTTTACACTTAATACTACAAAATATTAATGAGTGATTAGACTTTGAGTTATTATAAATGATTAATATATGTGTACATAGGTGCACACATAGAGGTTGACATAATGTGAGTGAAGTGAGATCCACGATACTGTAGCGTGGGTATCACAACACTCACATTATGTCATCCCCTATGTGTACACTTATGTACACATAGCACTTCTCACGATTTAATGACTTACTTATTTCAGAATTTGTAACGTTTTCCGTTTCTGTCTCTTTATCTTCCTTTTTGAAGTTAATTAAAATCATCGTTATGTATGCTGAATAGGATAATCATTCATATAAGAAAATAATACAACTCTTTATTTAATTTAACATTCACAAAGAAAATTTAAATATTCAGTGCTTGTGCATAAATTCTTTGATCCCTGCAAACAAAATTTCTGTTTCTTTTGCTGTATTTGGATCCATGTCAACAGCAATTTTGTTCAAATAAAAGCTATGCCCTACTCCGTGATTGATCAGCAGTTCCACTTCTTTGTTAGCCCTTTTCATGGCCTCGTAGAATTCCATTTCAGTGTCCTGGATCAAATCCTGCCCCGCCACGCAGTAGAGATATGGCGGCAGATTCAGGTCCTGTAGCGGCGGCGCCGCCTCCCCCATTGGGCAAGTTATGGGGTGATCCTTGTTGCTTCCAATAGGCAAAGCCAGGTTTAAAAACTTGTCCACCATGTCGAGAGTTAGAAAGGGTGATTCTGGTTGCTCCATCTCCGATTTGCTCCGCTGTGAACGTACGAAACCGGGGTGGATTGGAATCGCGCCAACCAGTTTAAGAGGACTCAAGTTTTCATCTCCAGCACGCGCCGCCACCTGGTGTACTACGTTGCCACCGGAGCTGTCTCCTGTTAAGAAAACGCGTCCAAAATCTGCATGGTCATTGAGCCAGGGCTCGTCGGCCTTGCCTTGTGCTAAAGAGCGAAGCCAGAGGAGTGCAGCGAACCCATCATCACAGGCGGCAGGGAGGCGGTGCTCTGGTGCACGACGAAGGTAGACAGAAACAACTATGGCTCGAGTTTTACAAGCCAGGCGGCTGTAAACAGCGTAGTACATGTACCAATCAGCCTGGCTAATGCAAAATCCACCACCATGAAAGTGAAGTAATATAGGAAGTTTGTCCAAGTCCTCGACGTTCTTTTCGGGTAGATAAATTCGTACTTTTAGGCCCGAATCTGCATCATTAATGTCTTTGACTGCAATTCCATCTACGAAGTTATCGTGAGGCAGTACAGGATCTGCCATGAACTTGACCTCAGGTGGTCCTGTCCATGTCCTATCGACTGAGCCATCATCGAAGACGGTTAACCATCCCGATACTTGATCAACGATCTTTTTTTCTTGAACCATGGTCTTAACCCGGACTGGCTGAGGAGTAGGGGGATCGAGAGATTCTAGTTAAATGTAGAAATAATTAAGGCTGGGTTGAATTGGTGGAGGAGAAATAGGTTACCATTTATAGATGTTAGAGTGGTAAATTTTTATCAAGATCACTAAAATATTATTATCGACAAGATGGGTCAGCTACAAGAAAATGTTAAGTAATAACAAGGATGGTTCCATGGTTTTTATTCTTTGGTACATACTCTATGGTAGAAACGACACTTCCTATTGAATTGCTTTTTCTTTGTGGAGTGGAGAAAATTGGGCTCACACCAATGGGTGTGAACGTTAGTGGAAGTTTCTATTAATGTAAAAAAGGGTTTTAGGTAAAGTGGAATTTGAATAATTGAGATTGTCAGAATTATTGTGAATTTGATTATCACTTCATTCGTTAAATAATGTTATGAATCGAGTATTTTCGAGTGTACTTTAAAGATATGGGGTCATGTACGAGTTGGTGAAATTAACGTGTGAAAATAAATTAATATGTCCGTATAAGCAAGGTGTGACACGAATATCACCTACAGGGAATCAGCTGAAACAGGACAAAATGAGTTGTTTTGGCATATTGTAATTTAATTGAGACAGTCTGGCTTACTATTGCAATAAGGATTTATTAATATAAATTAATACTTATTCTCTATCTTACCCGAATAATAATTGGTTCTATTCGTAATATACGAACGAGTGATTGTTCGAATTTTATTTGAATGAACTTGATAAATATTTGGAATCTACCAAACAACGGGAAAAAAAATTGAAATATTACTAATCAAGAAAATGGATGTATTATTTTTACAACCTTAGCGCGTATTTATAGATCCTAATCCAAATGAAACCTTAATTCTGTAAACAAATCTAACTAAACTAGGAAACGTCAAAACAAATCCAATTAAAACAAAAAAAAAGTATTAAAATGTTCTCAAATTAACTAAAACCAGAAAAAACACGAAAAGGGACCATTAAACGATGGAATTTGTCCCCGCAAATTTGACAATGAACCCCATAATTGTCACATGGGCAAAATTGTGTAGAATCGAAAAATGCTTCCGGATTGTATTCGGGAACGAAAATCCAACACTCGAGGTGAAAATTATACACGTTTTCGTGCATCCTTCTTATTTCTTCACTTTTTTAATTAATTTGGAATTTTCTCTTCTAATTGATTTGCATCATTATAGCTACTAAACAGTCTTTCTTACTAGATTATACGATAAAATGCCCAGTTCCTTAGCTACAAGAAGAGAGCTACGAGCAAATAGCTAATCGATTACAGGTATGAGGCTAGAACTCAAGTATGCAATCATATTGATAATAGATCGAGGAGGGCCCGAAAGCCCCCAAACCAATAACGGGAACCAAAGCGGAAGCCTTTCGATTCACTTTCTCACTTTGGACGACGATTCATTTTGAAATGAATTCTTTCATAACTGTTGATTTGTGAACTAGTATTCATTTCCAATGCGAGACTGCAATCTAATTGAAAATATAAATATTATTCGTCTAGTAGATGTGTAATAACAAAAAAGTAAATATCTTAACGAAAATCTTATAAATTGTAAAAGAAAAATTTAGCACGCTTGTACAACAAGTCAACTGTAGCACATATGAAACACACAGTTAGAAAAACTATTGAGGTGACGGTGATTTAATTACATTAATTATTTCCTATCTTCTGCTTCTACTTTTGCGTACATAATTAATTGTGATTTTTATTTTATTTTTATTGGCGTTTATATAACTATATTAAAAGGGTGAAGGAAGTTTTCACTATTCCTAGCCACTATTCCTAAGCACATTCATAAGGAGCTGGCTCGGCTCGGCTCGGCTCGGCTCAGCTCGGCTAAGTTTTTTTTTGCTTTTCTCTACCAAGCCGAGCCGATAGACCTTTCGTCTCGTCTCGGCTCGACTAAGCCACAGAACAGAATTATTATTATTATTTTTTATTTTATTTTATTTTTATTCAATATTGTAGGTTTAATCTCGACTCGACTAAGCCGCNGACACGAATATCACCTACAGGGAATAAGCTGAAACAGGACAAAATGAGTTGTTTTGGCATATCGTAATTTAATTGAGACAGTCTGGCTTACTATTTCAATAAGGATTTATTAATATAAATTAATACTTATTCTCTATCTTATCCGAATAATAATAACACAAAATTCAACTTATCCATCTTTTATAATGGTTAATTACCCCACATGTCCAGGCTCATTTAAATGAACAATATTGCAGTCTGACAGTCCAAAGTGGAGGAGAATGGGGGCATCATAGGAGGAAAACGATGAACAATAATAATTGGTTCTATTCATAATACACGAACGAGTAATTGTTCGAATATAATTGGTTCTATTTGAACGGACTTGATAAATATCTGAAATCTACCAAATAACGGGGAAAAAAAAATTGAAATATTACTAATCAAGAAAATGGATGTATTATTTTTACAACCTTAGCGCGTATTTATAGATCCTAATCCAAATGAAACCTTAATTCTGCAAACAAATCTAACTAAACTAGGAAACCTCAAAACAAATCCAATTAAAACAAAAAAAAAAGTATTAAAATGTTCTCAAATCAACTAAAATCAGAAAAACACAAAAAGGGACCATTAAACGATGGAATTTGTCCCCGCAAATTTGACAATGAACCCCATAATTATCACATGGGCAAAATTGTGTAGAATCAAAAAATGCTTCCGGATTGTATTCCGAAACGAAAATCCAACACTCGAGCTAAAAGTTATACACGTTTTCATACATCCTTCTTATTTCTTCACTTTTCTAATTAGTTTTGGAATTTTATCTTCTAATTGATTTGCATCATTATAGCTACTAAATAGCTAGATTATATGACAAAGTGCCTAGTTCCTTTAGCTACAAGAAGAGAGCTACGAGCAAATAGCTAATCGATTACAGGTACGAGGCTAGAACTCAAGTATGAAATCATATTGATAATAGATCGAGGGGGCCCGAAAGCCCCCAAACCAATAACGGAAACCAAAACGGAAGCCTTTCGATTCACTTTCTTCGACGATTCATTTTGAAATGAATTCTTTCATAACTGTTGATTTGTGAACTAGTATTCATTTCCAATGCGAGACTATATCTTTAATGAAGACCGTCGATCAAGAAGCACTTCGAAGACTGCAGTCTAATTGAAAATATAAATATTATTCGTCTAGTAGATGTGTAATAACAAAAAAGTAAATATCTTAAAGACAATCTTATAAATTGTAAAAGAATAATTTAGCACGCTTGTACAACAAGTCGACAGTAGCACGTACGAAACACACAGTTAGAAAAACTATTGAGGTGACGGTGATTTAATTACTTCATTAATTATTTCCTATCTTCTGCTTCTACTTTTGCGTACATAATTAATTGTGATTTTTATTTTATTTTTATTGGCGTTTATAATTTATAAAAATAGGAGTTGGCGAGCTGTCAACATAAAGTGTCATTTCTAAGAAAATTCTGTTTAATTTTCCGGAAGAGACGGTGACTTACTGACTTGCCAAAAAAAATAAATAAATAAATAAAATAAAATAAATATATATATAAAGAATTATTCCCTGAGTTTATGTGCACGTGTGTTTTTTTTTTTTTCCGACTTTGAATTTGTACTGTTGATTTCAAATTTATGTATCAATTCTGTAAAAATTTTCTGTACTTGTAGACTGACTGATAAAAAAAACTCTACCTTCAATTATATATTTTTGCTTTTTGTATGGGCGCCCCGGAGATACAGTCGAAATATATCGCTTAGCGTTTATTTTTGTAATCTTTTATCGTTAGAATAAAAAGAAACTATGCCTAACCTTAATCTCTACAATATTATTTCACGTTTTTTGATATTTGGGATAAAATAAAGGAAAAAAGATCAGTTTATTCGGAGCCTTCCGTGGCTACTCTCGCAAAATTAACTTGAATATGTCATATTAAGCCTTATCGAATTTGATCCACATACTTAAATTTCACGTTTTTCACATATTTTTCATAGTCCAATATTTGTTCTCAAAGGTCTTTATTTTCACGTACCCAATCTCGACTTTTTGTACGAATTGAAGATAAGCGATGCCATTTATGGCCTTAAAAAGTCAAAATGAAAGAAATTTCCAGTTGTGATAAGGAGAAAATATTATTTTGTTCTTGTGAATTCAGTGAGCAACTTATTGATTTTATTTGTGAGTAAAATATAAAATTATTTTAAGACATAAATATATTGGAAAAATAGTGTTGTAAGTAGGTAAGTAGTCAATTTTATAAGGCGAAGTTGGAACGTTACTTCCTCCCTTTGCAGATTTTCTTAGTAATTTACTTGTCCAAAACTATTAATTCTAGACATGAATGAGTAATTAAGTCAAAAATAACCTCATTTGTAAAGACAAATTGAAATAAGAAAATTTGTTTTACATTCAAATATAGAGAAGACTTCTAATGCTTTATAAGTCTTCGCTCGTTATTTGAGTTTGAGTCTCGAGGGAACTATCTTACATATAGGTCTGTTTGGTATGCAAATGTGGACAGTAATTCCAACTCCATGTTAGTTGGAAAATAAAAACTCAACAAATCCATAGGAATTCGTTTTCCATGAAAATAAAGAAAATGCAGTTTAAAGTGGTTGTACCTTGAAATTCGATTTTCATTTCCGCATTGCAATCAAACAGTCAAAGCGAAATTCGTTTTCTTCGGATGTGACATTTTTCAAGGAAAATGTGGCAATCAAACATGCCATAGAGTGTGTTAGAAAAAACTCTTTGAAATGGATATTGCACAAACTTGAAGTTGCGGATGACTTTAAAATATTGCAAAAACTTGATAGATCAAAACGAGTTTCAATGTACATTGCTAGCTATGTCGTTTTTCTTAAATATTTTTTTTACTCCTACTGCTATGGTTATACAAAAGCAAATATGCCTCGGGATATAATAGAACAAGATAATGTCTGCGTTCTACACAAAC